TTCGATTCTCGGGGGCCTTGAAATAATCCAAATAATTCAAATAATTCAAATCGGTCTGGGTATTTGAATTATTTTAATTATTTGGGTTCTCGCGCTATCCAAAATAGTTAAAATAATTGAAATATTGAAATATCTGGAGGAAACAAGGCGCTAAATATACCCTAGAGGTGCTTCTCTCATATATATATATATATATATATAGCTTGTCTGCAGTTGATACGATATATATATATATATATATATATGTGTGTGTGTGTGTGTATACATGTATATGTATATTTTTACATGTATATGTACCTTTGCTCAACTTTTTAGTCCGTCCCAGGTCCTCAATGAAGTGTTGGCGCCCAGCCCGAAGAGCCTGGACGGGCTCCTGCAAAGGCAAGAGCGCAAGGCTTCGGGCTAAGGGCTTTAAATATTAAACTAAGTTTACAGTTTAGGTCTTTGTTTTGACTTTGGGGTTTAGGGTTGGGTTTGCGTTGAGGGGGTTTGGGGCTTTGTTTTGTGTTGAGGGTTTGGGGTTAAACGGCTCAGGGTCTAGGGCTTAGGGTGCCGTCACTCGATCACGTAGTGGGGTCTGAAGCTGCGATGGTCCTTGGCTCCTGTGTACATGGTGCTCATACTACAGTATGCATAAAAAAGCGCTCATGAACACAAGTGAGTGATTTCAACATCACTGTTTCACGGTAATGCCGTTGTTTCTACTACAGATGCATGTGTGAATACGAAGAGTGGTATGTCGTGCAAGACTGCTTTCTCGAACAACACTAGAATTTCATATTTTACTTTTTTGAACGTTTGCTTCATTCAAGACCTAAGACTGGAGCATCATGCTGGCAGCGCTTTCCATAAAGATGCTGATTCGGCTCACGATTACTGTGAGCGAAAGAGCCCGATGATATTACCATACTGCTTGGCGAATAAATCTGCAAGCCCCAACCTCAACCCAGTGGAGACTTTGAACCCTGCTAAAAGCCCCAACCTGAAACCCAAAAGCCCTTTTGGAGTTTAGGGCTTGGCAGTTAAGCCCTAAACCCCTAAACCCCTAGCCCCCAAACCCGAAACCCTAAACCCTTAACCCTAAACCCCAAACCCGAAACCCTAAACCCCAAACCTCAAACCCTAAACTCTGAAGCCTAAACCCCAAACCCTAAACCCCAAACCTAAAACCCTAAACCCTAAACCCTAAACCCAAACTGTAAACCCTAAACCCCAAACCCCAAACCCTAAACCCCAAACCCGAAATCCCAAACCCTGAGCCAAAAAACCCTAAACCGAAATCCTGATAACAGCTCCGATCGCCTCTCCGAGCTTGATGCGATCGTAGACGAAGCCATCGGATTCACTTCCGAGCCTTGGGAGTTCAAGGGTGTTGGGTTTAGGGTTTAGGGGTGTTGGGGTTTTGGGGTTTTGGGGTTTCGGGCTTTAGGGTTTAAAGGCTTTGGGGTTTTGGGGTTTAGGGGTTTAGGGTGCAGGGTTTTGGGTTTCTGGGTGTAGGGTTTAGGGTCTAGGGTTTCAGGGTGTAGTGTCTCGGCTTCGGAGTATATCATCAGACTGGGGGCGGTGTTTGGGAGCTCGGTGATCGACAGCAACGTTCTCCTAGTTAACAGCAGGAGCACAGCACTACAAATGACGACATAGATATGACAATGCATGCATGTAACTGCTGAGAGCCACATGACAAAGATCCCAGCTACCATCATCCCGACGCCCCAACCCCAACCAACATCACTGCAACAACTGTCACCTCTGTTCTTAAGGACAACAGCAGCGGCCCCTGTTGCCCTTAACGATGCTCAACTACTCTTCGCTTCAACGCCATCTTGCACAGCAAGGGTCTGCGCAAACTTGATCGGCTCGTCAGACACGAGGTCCTCAGGGACTCAAAAACCCTTAATTCAAGAAGATACCTTATACAAACATTAGGGATCCTATTATAATTAAGTGCATAGTCCTTAACTTTGTACAAACATTAGGGATCCTGTTATAATTAAAGGCATATTCCTTAACTTATATAGACATTAGGGACCCTACTATAATTAAGGGCATATTCCTTAACCAAGGGCTTTTGGAGTCCCGAGGGTCCAGCAGCTTTCCATACTTCTCCACGCGCCCCACGTAGTGCACGCCTGGAGGGGGCTCAGGGCTTTCGCGCCCTGGGCCGAAACCCCTCTTGTCCTGAGAACTAAACCAGCAAGAGCCACTTTAAGTAGACCCGAAAGCCTAAACCCGAAAGCCCTAAATATCCTAAACCTATGAGGGAACTTAGGGAGTTCCAGCTTCCGCAACTTCACGAGCGTGTCGGGTTGAAGCGTTTAGGGTCTTGGGCTTTAGGAGGAGAAAAACCGGATCCGCGAAAGCCGATCTCCCCAAAGCCCGACGTCTGAAAAGTGCTTTCCGCCTCGCGGAAACTGGAGTCGCGCATGAGGGATGCAAGTAAGTTGGGAACAATGATATACAAGGGTCAAATTGCTCACACCTTGGAGAAAGAACTAGAGCACACCCAAGCTGAGATATATACATATATATATATATATATGTATAAATACACATACACACATATATGGCGCATGTAGTAACATATACATTATATATATATATATATATATGTATACACAGAGAAAGACGCGACAACCGAGAGTTGTGGCGACTTTGGCGGCTAGGCCCAGGGGTGCCTGTGTCGAAGGTCCAGCCTTTGTCCGTAAACTCGTGCGTGCAGCCGCCAGCAACGTAATGCCTTCGGCGTGGAGTCTCAGAGCTCCGGGAACGAAAGGCTCAGAGTTTCGGGCCTCTGGCTTCATGGGTTTAGGGCTTAGGGCTTAGGGTTTCGGGCCTCTGGCTTCATTACAGGAAAGCTTCAATACCCCTTGCCTTGAAACCCCAACCTTGAGGTTGACTTAGCGCCTGAAACCCTTGAACCCCGAACCTCTTGAACCCCGCAGCCCTAAAAAACCCAAACTTCATGGGGGTAGTTCTCTAAATTTAGGGTCGCTGTCTAGCTCCCCAATATAGTAGGGCACCCTTGTAAAAGGACCCCCAAAANNGATCCTCATTTAGAGAACTACCCATGGTCTTCCTGGCAGAAGCGGGTTCTCGCCGAGCCGCTGCTCCAAGACGAGCACCGCTCGGCCAGATTTTGCCAGCAGGGCGGCCAAGTACAGACCTTCAACGGCTTCAGGGTTAAGGGTTTAGGACGTAGGACTTTGGGTTTAGGGTTTAGNNGTTTCGGGTTTAGGGTTTGGGTTTGGAAAGTTCAGGGCAACATACAGGCGAGGGATCATCAATGTCCCGGCATGAGGCTTCCACAAGCACTTTACAGTTCAAATGATAAGAAAAACAACGGCAAGTGTGTTCAATGGTGGTTACAACAACTACACAGATGACAACCATACTGCTCTTGTCAAGAATCGTCGTCGTCCTGTCGTCGTCAATATACGAAACCAACGCACACATACGTTGCTACAAAAGCTGGCAGCTTATGATCATGCTACTGACGAAACAGGGGCTAGCATCACGGAGAATACAGAATGCTGCCGCAACAACTTCGCGAAGATGCTCAAGGCACCAAGGAAGAAGAACCCAAGTCAACCGTCATCCCCAAACCGACATCCAAACCTTGCACCCCCCCCCCCCCCCCCCCTCGCCCCCCGCCCCCCCCAGCCCTGAACTCCAACAACCGTCCGGAACCAATGAAGCACCTTTAGAACACCTGCAAACAACCTCTAGAACTGTAGAACCAGAATCAAACCCGTTTCAAAAAACAAACTAAACCGTTCGGCCTCCGATCCCGGAGCCCACCACCACCACGTCGATGCTCTTCGGGAGCTTCTTCTGCGAGAAGCGGTCCCGGGTGCAGTCCTCGCACTCGGCCCGAGAAGACTCCAGGGGCACGTGGTCCTTGAAGTTCTTGGGCCCACGGCGCCGCTTGATTCCTGGGGCTTGGGGATTTCTGAAGGCGAACAGGGTTTGGGCGTTTTTTGGTTTAGGTTTCGGGAAGAATTTTGGGTCATGCCCCTTCGTTTTAAGGTCCACATCGTAGGATGATGTGAATCTTCCCCGGAGAACCCAGTACTCCTTAATTGAGGAATAGACCTTAAATCATAATGGTAAGGCCTCTATAATCTAAGGTATATTCCTTAACTAAGGGGTATTGGGTTCTTTGGGTCTAGGACAGGACAAGAGCCCCCAAGACGGGCCCGGGCCCTTTTCGAAGTCTCAGACTGGGAGGCTCAAAGGCCTCAAGAAGGTCAGAGCCAGGATACCCCCTTTTCTGAATCCCCAAACCCTAAACCCTAAACCCTAAACCCCTAAACCCCTAAACCCCTAATCCCCTAAACCCCTAAACCCGAAACCCCTAAACCCCCAAACCCTAAACCCCCAAACCCCTAAACCCCTAAACCCCTAAACCCAACACTAGGACGCCGGAGCTCGGATCACCTCAATCGCCAGCAGAGCGCC